ATGGAGAAGGTCGACCCGCCAGTTCTGGGACGATTCTTCAAGGTCGCGATAGCGTGTATGGGAGTCATTTCTGCGAAGGAACCCACGATTTGCACGACTGTGTGGGATGGATTGCTTGATATTTTGGGGCATTTGGATGAGGCGCATCGGTCTGTTGTTTTTAATGATATGCTTGTTGAGGTGTGTTTATTGAATGAGGCGGTGCACGTTGGGTTTGAGGCTAATATCTTTTGCAGCTGAGACGGGTAGAGTTGGCATCTACATACGATTTGCGGTCCGAACGGCTTGACGTAGCCGTTTTGTTGTTGTTGGATCACGCGGATGAAAAGGATGGAGATCAGCGACGAGCGAATGAAAGCGCTTTGGCATTGGCGCTGAAACCTGGTGGGTAACGATAGCATATGACTTTGATCGAAACCTTTGCACATATTCTCACAACAATGATCACAGACTCCATCGTCTCAACAAACGCCAGCGAAATGGCCGGCCACCAATTCTCCATCGCCCTAGCCGCCATGCAAACCCCTCAATACGCAAAATATCTCAACAAAGCGCAGTTCACCCTCAACGTGCTTGAGCAGCTTTTGGGCTATGGGAAACCCGTATCGACTATCTTCGATGCTGAAACGCAACGGGATCTGCTTCTTAATATTTCGGAGCTTGCTGCTTATGGTGTAGCTACTGATGAGCATGTTGAGGAGGTTGAGCGGTTGAGGAGGAGTGCGGTGGCGTGTTGGAAGGCTTATGCTGGGATTGCGAAGTTGGGTGGGGAGGATGAGTTGCGGTCGGTTTCGCAGCTGCTTTTGGAGCATTGGAAGAGTCTTTTTTGTGATTTGAAGCATCATGGAAGGTATGTTGCGCATGATCATTTTGTTCTTGAAAGTGGACGAAGTTCACCATAAATTCTGTCAGACCTGAACAGTACGTCAGCCAAATCGAGAACATCTTAGATTTGACAGGAGAGTTAGACACTCTAAAACAAGACGTATGGCAAACCGTCCTGCACAGTCCAGAATACTGGCGGCATCTTGGTTCTGCGTGGGACCAGGACGATGTCTTGCTGGTTATTGAGGATCCTCTTGTCGCTGTTTCGTCGAACAGTGGCAAAAAGGATGCAGGGACGGACTTTGACGTTCATGGGTTTAGTCTTTATGCACGGTTGGCGTTTACGGTTGCGGAGTTGATGCAGAAGCGGTGGGAGGAGATGAAGGGTTTTGTTGGGGAGTTTGGGTGGGTGGGTGTTGAGTTGATGAGGCTTTGGGTTGTTTGGGAGGATGCGGGACGGTTGGAGGGGAGGATGCCTTGGCAGGTGGATGCTGGGGATGTGTTGAGTAGGGAGGGGCTTTGGGGGATTTTTGGGAAGGTGGTTGCAGAGGGTGGGAGGGGGGATGAGGTGGGTTGGTTGGAGGAGTTTGTGGGGTTGCCGAAGGGGACGGTGGTGGGGGAGGATAAGAGGCGGAGTGCGTTGTTGGCGGCGGTGCAGGGTGGGTTTGATGGGAAGGGGTTGAGGGTTTTAGCGCAGTTGGTGACGTTGATGAACTCTGCGCCGTCGAGTTCTGATCGATGGATTTCGGTGATTGAGAAGGCGATTGATTGTGGTATGTTTGCACAACTGTCGTTTGTGGGTTGAGTTTTTACTTCAAATTTTAACTCAATATGTTTGCAGGCCGGCCAAAGATTGCTCTTTCTCTCTTAGCAGGCGTACAGGACATCTTGCCAGTCGCCGCGTTGCCGAAACTCCTGACCAAGACCGTTCAATCGATTTCGCAACTGGATAAAGCTACAGTCTTCGATGGAACTTCATCAGCAGTCGCATTAGTCACCTCTGCGGGAATCTTGCTCCAGCGCTTATCGGATAATCAGAGTATCATCGACACTCCGCAGGCACAACTGGTGCTATTGACTCGGCAGCTTCGGAGTTGGTATGAAGGTGCGGATGGGTACCGAATTAGCAAGGCGTCTCGGTTGGATGTAGCTGTGGGTGGGGTGCTTGCGAAGGTTGTGGGGATGCAAGGGGAGGTTGGAGTGAATTTGGCTGGGTTTATTTTTGCGATTTGTGAGAGGTGGATTTTGGTGGGTGTTAATGAATCTCCGATGATGAAATTTAATGGGGTTTTTTGCATGGATCACTGAATCTTACTGGGCGATTTTTGTAGGAACTTTCCATGACCAATCCCGACACTCGAGTGGTTCTGCATGAAGTGCTTCAACTCTGGGAGGCGCTTTTGAGGGCGGCTGATCAGGAGCCGCAGGTTTGGGGAGCGGTGGATCGACATGAGCAGCAGGTTCAGAGTCATGTTTTGGAGTTGTTTCAGGGTTTGGCGGGTATGTTGTTGGCGTGATCTTTGAACATTTGAGATGAAGTTCACTGATTATGTCTCATGTAGGCGTCAAAGACCATTCGCCCACGGCGAAGCCGCAAGCAAAGTTCTCTACCCAGCTTGCGGAGTTGGCTGGAAATACCCGGGAGGAGATTCTATTTGAAATTGGATCCACTCGTCAGGTATGGTCGTCTTGGTAGACTCTTCGTCATTTGTGAGTTGCTTGCTGATTGCACGTCTTGTCACTGCAGCTTGCAGATCTTCTGTACCTTCCCAACGAAGCCGTGCAGCTGACTGCCTTTTCATTGCTCCGTCGACTTACTCGCAAATACGTACAAGAGACATCTCTGAAAGTGGAGATGCGGAGGAGTGACGATGAGTCACAGGGCGAGGAGAAGTTGCCGGAGGAGGTTATAAGTGCGGCGGTGAAGCAGGTTGCGGATGTGGAGCCTGGGACGGTTGATTTCGTAAGCTTTGTTTGGTGAAATGTAGGGCGGATTCGGGTGTTGATCTTCCTCGCAGGCTGCACATGCGGGTCTTGGTTATCTTTTATCGTGGATGATTCTTTTGGGTCATTTTGATGATGCGGTAAAAGCTTGCTTTTGATTTGAGGTAATGCGTGCCGATACCAACCATAACTCTCCACAGACATTCCAACTGAAGGCCAATTACATCAGCCATCTCCGTACATCGGATTCTTTAGCACATTTCTTGGAATACATCTTTGGGATGCTTGGAGTGGGCTGGTCTTCATCTCCCTTCGACCTCGCGCGGTGGGATTTTCAAAATTTTGAGCCGGAAGGTGGGTCTTCAATCAGATTTCGGTGTGCGTGTTAGGCATCTGCTGATATGGGTATTTGTAGCATTCGAACTATCGTCACCGGTAGGGTTCCCACTCCTAGCAGCGCATCTTTACTGGCGCATTCTCCGCCATGCACCATCATTGGTCCGGATATGGTGGATGGAATGCAAGAACCGACAGTTGACGCTTGCTGTTGAGAAGTAGGTGTCGACGGACTGGAGAGTGGCACAATCACATTACTGTAAACGCACGAATAAACTCTTACATCATCCATCCCTACAGCTACACAACAAAACACTACACCTCCGAACTAGTCCGCACCGAAATGGACTCCCTCTCCACCGCCGACAAGTCCGCGCTCGAAGACCTAACCATCAAAGCCTCCAAACAATCGAACGAAGTCACGGCGGCGTATGCGATCGAAGACACGAATTTAGAGATTGTGATTCGGTATCCGCAGAATTTCCCTCTGAGGCAGATTGATGTTGATGCGGGGAAGGCTAGTGGGGGGCGGAATGCGGGTGTTGGGGAGGCGAGGTGGAGGGGGTGGCTTTTGAGTACTAGTGCGGTGATGGTAGCGCAGAATGGGAGTGTTGTGGATGCGTTGGGGGTATTTAGGAAGAATATTGCGTTGCATTTTGAGGGTGGGTTTTGTGGTGCTTTTTGGGAGGGGTTTTCGTTGTTTGCGGAGCAGTTGGGTTGGTCTTTTTTTTTGCTGATCTTCTATTTTGTGCTATTTTTAGGCGTGGAGGACTGTGCAATTTGTTATTCCGTCATTGGAGTAATTGATCGGACGCTTCCTACGAAGCAGTGCAAGACTTGCAAGCATTTGTTCCATGCTTCTTGTTTGTATAAGGTATGAGTTAGTTTTATGTTTCTTTTTGAAACGACGTAGTTACGGATGACTGATCATTTGTTGGTTTTGTCACCGAACACAGTGGTTCAAAACGAGCAACCAGTCGACTTGTCCTTTGTGCCGGCAAGCTACGTTTTAGACGTTGTGGGGAAGTAAGGATGGAGATTTGTAGATTTGATGTTTTTTATGTAAATTAGTTCTTTCTTTTTGAGTGGTAAATAGGATGGTGGTTGTGGGAATGTGCTGGAGAACCATTTCGGCAATGGTATCGCTCGTGTTCGGTGCTTTCGGTTGTCGACCTATCTCTGAGATTTTGTGGGGTTGGACGGGTAAAGGAAGTGCGGGGAGGCAGCAGTTTCTTTTTGTGTCGGAGAGCATTGTAGAGGACTGAATGAGGGATCAGCGATGAAGCAACGCGGAAAACGATTCTCAACCAATTCGAAGTCGAGGTATTTTTTTCGGCAGTAAACTCCGTTCCAAAACAAGCTCAGATGCGACATAAAGCCCATTCCGTTTGGCACTTTAGTCATTTTAGTCCGAAGATTCACTGTTCACCCATTCGTGAAATGGAGTTTGATAATTGGAGGGTCTGTATGATGTCAAGTTATCCATGATGGCAGACTTGGCACCCAGCAGAAAGTGAAGAGCATCACAAGTCGCCTTTGGAACTATTGGAGAGCGATGCCATTACATTCCATGTTTGGGAACTGCGCAAAGCCATCCCTGAGAAGGCCCAACCATCCAAATGACAGGCGCGAAAAAGGAAAAGGAAAATAAACAAATTGGTCTGAGAAGCCGTCGAGGTGGCAGAGCCATCCTTGAGATGGATCCATATCTCAATTGGTTCAAGACAGACGACTGGTAAAGATGCAGTCCATCATCCCAATTCATTCTTGACAACAGCTGAAACAGTTATCCATCATCCCAATTCATCCATGACAGACAGCTGAAACAGATGAGGTGCATCATTCCAATTCAATTCCTTCATGACAGACAAACTGCAAAAGAAAAAGGAATTAAGCGGCCTGACCTGGAATCGAACCAGGGATGCTTGATATGGATTTTGGTTTTATAATATTATGAATGATAGAAAAGCAGTAGTAGCCGTGTGTACTATCAGGCCGAGTTAGATAGCAGTAAATTGGTATGGAGATTGACAGGTTGTGTGGCGCTGATATGGACTGTGCCGCTGAAAATTACGCAAGCCGAGATTCGGGAAAGGGTTCACTGTGGATCCTTAGGGTTGGACTTCGGGTCTACGTGATTGGGAATGGCAATCTGAGCCCATTTGGCGGATGGTGTTCAAAGAAAGATTGAAGATTTGGTAAGACTTGCGATGATCTGTCCGGAAACCGGATTTCTTTCGACTTCAGGGGTTTAGTTCCTTCTTGCTCGGCCTCGGGTTGTGGTTTCAATTGCATGTGCTATTTTGAGTTCAGGTCGCGTTTTGGCCGGGTTGGTGGGGTTCAAGATCTCAGTACTGTATCCGTACAAAGGCACTGTCGCGTTCGGACATCCATCCCGTCCATCCTGATGTACGGAACTCTACCTTAGACATCTGTAAGATTGAGCTGAAAAATGTTGCTTCGCAGTTACATCAATGCATCATATGACCCACCGACGATGGCGTATGTAACATATGCTCTTCAAAAGCCCGCCGCTGTAACAAAATTTCTGAGTGGTGTCTTGGATGACGGCGGGCACTGCCTGCTTCGAAAACGCGCGCGCGAAAGCGGCTCCCGCCAATATTGCATAGCCTGCATTGCCATGATTGGGGAAAGGCTCGATCACACCTATCACAGTTTTCAGGCGACCATGGGCACATCCGGGCCCTTGGCGAAAATGTAATCAACAACATCTCCACCACACCTCCGTTGTTTGTGCATTTTCCCCGGGCCCTGAACTCGGTCCCCGGGGTTTTCTGAAACGCATCACGTCGATCGCTGTTCCATCATCGTAATGGTCTTGCATTGGCAGGAAAGAGATGAGATGTGGCAGTCTTGGAGGGTCCTCCGGGCCGTGATTTATTCAATCCATTGGGAAGGTGTATGAGAGTGGGGGGTGGTGGTGGTGTAGCGCGGTTCTTACCAAAGATGTTCGTCGAGGCTGGTTGTGGGCAGTTGTCAGCAGTGTCATGTGTTACCCAAGCTTTCCCAGATGGCGGTGAAGAGGGTTTCAGATTGCACAGTGTTCCAATATCAAGCCCGCTGCTTCTGAGTTCTTGCTGGCTTTTTCTGCCCTTTTTTGATCTTTTTTCTATTGGTCTTGTTTTCCCATCCAACCACTTTCTGTGTCATTATTGTCTATGCGGTAGATACACGAACCCTGTTCATATATTTCATTTCGCACAAACGTCGGGAAAAATAGTGCTTGCGTCACCCTCCTCCCCAATCCGCAACCAAGTTGTATCTCGCTTTAGTACGAAGTGTATATGATAAGGTGTGTATTGACAGGTCATGACTATGGTGTTGGGGGGAGGATGAGATGGCTATGGGAAAGATGGGAGGCGGGGCCATCATGATGGATGGGGACCGCGATATATTGGATTGCGTCATGTGAAAAGTCTGGCACAGTTGGCTTGTACGACGAATTACTTTTTCCTTGACGGAGGAGGAAGCAAGGGTTCACTTTCTTCCTTGTGAACCCTGATTATCTCCCTCCTGCCCACGGTTTTGACCCGAAGAAACGCGAACGTGTCCTTGCCGATAGGAGGAGTGGACTGAGTGTAACCCGTGGAACCCTTGTCACACGAAGAAGGCTGTGCAATTTGTTTCGAATTTCCTTGTTCATACGCTTGGGGCAACCTTGTGCTACATTGCGGCACAGACCATTTCGTAAATGGTATCCGGCAACTGTCAACTCGTTTTACATCGGTCACACGATCCATCCGTCGCCTCCTCCCTGCGTCACACAAAGTTGGACTCGCATTAGCTGCTTATTGCAACATACCAGCTGCATAATAGTCACTTGGGTTGTGAGCCTCTTTCCTGCCCATTCGATCGGAGCCATAGCAGTTTTCAGTGGCGCACAACGCGTGGGAAAATTGACCTCCTTCGAGTCTCCCATCTCTCCCCTCATTCAACTTAGTCAACTTCAATCAAGCCATTCGCACGTTTCCCTTCATCTGGACCATAATCCTTGTGTAACACCACCACCTTCCATCACCAACAAAAGTCTCAACTTGACCGCAACCTCGACTGAGCCCATGTTGCATGTTGGCCACAATCACACAAATTTCACACTGAAGCTCGTCCAACTTCGGCCCAAGCTCCTCCACTGTCGCCAGAAACGCCCCTTTCTTGTGAGTGAAGATTTCAACTTTCAACCCTCTGTGTACGTGCCACCAGTGGACCCATAACATCGCGTGTGGACCCTTGTTATGCCCAATAAGCTCCTATTGGCATAACACCCTGTTAGTATCGCTATCACCCTCTGGCTTGGTGTCGATTTTTTCGCCCAAGCTGCAACCTCCCCTCCGCCAAAAGGGCCCATTTCCTTGTGGTGGTCAGTTTGGGCCTCACACACACAGACGCACTACCGAGACCCCCACCCACCACTCCCATCACGCCCCTACTTTGCTACTTTACCACCCTTTCCCCCTTCGCCCCCGTCGTTCGTGAGAGCTCCTTTCCGACTCTCACCCTCCGCCCCTCGCGTTACGCTACGTTTCCTTCTCACTATTCTATCATATCACGCATCTTGCGGGCATCTTGCCATCCTGATTCGCTCTGCCTGAAACGAACGAGCTTTTGGTCGATTAGTGTTGGGGAGCGAAGCGCGACACACAGAGGGAGCAGTTAGAAACGGTTCGTGGCTGTGGGTTCGGAACAAGCTTGTTGGACCTTGTTGATATGGGGAGGAGGATGCTTGGCGATATGGGTGACGATGGGGATGGGAAAATTGGCCCTATGTCGGGTTGACGGGGACTGGAATCTTGGCGGGTTGACATCGCCACTGTCAAGATGATATGTGCCAGATTTAGAACATATGATTAACAAGTGGCTTTTCCTTTCCCGTTTTTCGCACTATAGGCGGCACTAATAGAGGCGCATACTACTTAGGGCAAACGTACCCTATTCGGTTGCACCGGTCGCTTATAGATGTGAGTTTGTCATTTTCCCAATCGCATCGTTTTTCTCTCTTCGTCGGTTGATTGTTTTCCTCACATAAGATTTTCCCTCGATCAGTCATCAATAGATTTTGACATTTCCTGTACATTGTATTCGACATACCCACATCACCCACCATCATGGACCAGCTAAGAGATATCGTTGTAAAGCTGCCGTTAAAGTCCTGGTTCCAACGGGTACCAGGACTATGGCTAGTCGCCCTCCTTCCTTTTGCCGTTCTAGGCCCCGTTTACGCTCCCGCCCAATTCGGAATATACTACTTCATCCTCCATATGCTTTTCGCCATCAACAACTGCAGATCAGCATACGGCATGTATGTCTGCTACAACAACGCCAAGATGTACTCCGTCACCGATTGGCTTCAAAAGTATTGCGATGAGACGGGTACCGTAGATGGGAACGACACTCGGCACGACCTGCCATACGAGCACGTCACCCACATCATCATCCTTCCCAACTACAAGGAGGACATCGACACATTGCGGGAGACGCTAGATGTGCTTGCCAGCCATACTCGGGCTGTTACACAATACCGGGTGTGCTTGGCGATGGAGGAGACGGAGAAGGGGTGCGAGGAGAAGGCACAAGGGTTGATGAACTTGTATGCCGAGTCTTTCTACGAAATCACCTACACCGTTCACCCTGCTGGTCGCCCCGGCGAAATCCGTGGCAAGTCTAGCAACGTTGCATGGGCTTCGTCACAGATGGCTCTTCGGACCGGCGGTTACGGCGGGCGTCACGAGCACGAGATCTTGACCGTGATGGACGCCGACACCTGCTTCGCCGAAGACTACTTCACCGCCGCTACCTACCACTACACCGTGGCATCGCCCGAGCAACGTAAAATCATGATGTTCGCTCCTAGCACTGTCTTTGATCGGTAGGTGACTGTGATACGCTGATGCGCATGCCTTTACTTCCCATGCTGACATGACATCCTTGCTTTATTCAGTAACTCGAACAACGTTCCAGTTTTCGTCCGTGTCACCGACATGTTCTGGTCCATCGGTGTTATCTCCAACCTTTACCCATCCTCGTCCGTCAAGATTCCCTGTTCAGCCTACTCCGTATCGATGGAGCTCGCAATGGCGGTCAACTTCTGGGACGCTGGACCAGAGGCCATCGGAGAAGACATGCACATGTACCTCAAGTGCTTCTTCGCCACGGAGGGTCGGGTGATCGTAAAGTCCATTTTCTCGCCTGCATCTCAATGCAACGTGGAGGGGTCTGGGACTGGGTTCAACGGATACGTTAGTTACATGCGCGCACGCTACACGCAGGCTAAACGGCACATGTGGGGGTCGTTAGATAGTGGATTTGTCATGAGGAACCTCATCGAGAGTGTTCTCGGAGTTGGGACCAAGCCCGCAATTCAGCTTAAGAATGCCGGTGTTGGCAAGCTTGGCAAGGAGGAGCGGGAGCCGACATGGAACTTCCGGTTGGGAACCGTCGCCACCCTCCTTCACAGAGTCTTGGAATCCCACATCCTCATGGGCCACCTTTTCACCCTCATCATCACCTCGGCCTTGATCCTCCCGGTACGCTCATCCTTCTCCTACGCCTTGGCAACCTTCTTCTGGGCCTACATCTCGGACGAACCAGTACATCCATACGTCGAATTCGCCCTCAACGCCTCCTTCTGGGTACGTCTCTCCGTCATTATCCCCAACGTCATCATGATCTGGTATTACGAGAAGTACCACGAATGGGTCGGATTCGAACGATGGGCGCTCCAAGAGCAACAACTCCGCGAGTCTCGGTCTCTCCAACGGGACCTCAGCACCAAGCGCGTCGACTCCGCCGTCGATATCGCCTCCGCGGACGCCACCCCCGCCCCCAACTCCCTCTCCGAATACATCTCCCCCTCCCACGCCCACCTTCGCGTCCAACACCTCGGCAAGCGCGCCCAGCTCGCCTCCCGCCGCATCTACCCGCGCAACATGTGGGACTGGTTCTGCATCCCCGTCGCCGGTTTCCTCTTCTACGTCCTCCC